CTTAAACACCATTATCAAACAGCTACTTTGATAAGAGAACAAAAACACTGAGCAACATTGAGAACACCCTAGTTTGGCATCAGGAAAAGCATGCACTTTTAAGAATTTTCTGTTAACTTTGACCCAAATAGGCTATTTTAGCTCCTCTGAACCTGAAAACCCATTTATATACTAAGGTAGAACTGTGTTTGTGCTGTGTATATTAGTGTGCCCATACATTTAAATAAAAGTTTCATGCAGTGATCTCCAAGCTTTGAATACAAGGGCATTCACCTAGTTTCCAGCTTGACTGTATATAAAGCAGTACTGACTGTATAACAGTATTGACATGCACCAACTCTGCTGAAGGGCACGAGAATGAAAAAGACCATGGCACAAGATTTTAAACAATTTTAGGTTTAATTACATAATGCACCTGTAGATGTTCTAGCATAAACACAATTGTAAAAATCTACATCCTATTTTCGGTTATTTTCCCAACTCCCATCCCTTAAAAGCTGTACAGTTATAAAAAAATGTGACTTTTAAGCAAAATAAACTTCTTTTTGCAACATACAAAATAAGTTAAATGAGTCAGAAGGTCTTGAGCCATTAAGTTCCCCAACGACTGGTCTGGCTGCCCGTAAGCATGACATGCAGCAGCTTCTTGGACTAAGGCCAGAACTCAATAAATACAGATCAAACAAAACCCAAAACACTTAGATTCCTTTAGAAACTGATGCAAGTCAAGAAAATATATAATTAGGCTTAACAATTCCATTCTCAACTTACACCATCCAGTGGCAAAAAGAACAAGGCAGGTTATTTAGTCCTAAGTGCATGTTCCAGCTTGTACCGATTTGGCAAAACAAAAACACAAATGTACTTCCTTTTTCCCCCCTCAAACTAAGCAGCAGCTCAATGAACACATAATTTCTACCCACCTAGTAACCTGTGAAGCCCTCTCATATCTTAGGTATGGGATAGGTAATGAGGGAACTTTAAAATTTAAAGTTTGTGGAAATTTGGAATGATAAGACAATGGATTCTTTTCCACCAGTCTTTTGAAGCCCACTCATATCTGAAAGTTACTAGAGCAAAAAGAACATTTGCACTAACTGAAATCAAATGTGCCAAGATTGGCTTACAGTATTTCCTAAGGTGAAGTGGTGTCAGAATGAAATTGGGGGGTTGAGCTTACTGATCCAAATCGGGAAAAACTAATGGGATCCTATGCTAAACAATGTCTGAGGTTTCATAAAAAATATGGTGAATGTGGTATTTAAAATAGTGATATACCAAGCTCCATAGATTTTGGCTTAAAATTACTGTCAGCCTGCTGGGGAATGACTGTCTTTAATATATTTTACATAGTAATTCTTGGCACTCAAAAAATGTTCAATGAGTAATTGGAGCCAAATATTCTGAAAACAAATTAAGTGTAGACATAACATGAAAAATCTTTTGGGACTCATCTTCCAGAGTTGTTATGAAACCAACTTTAAAAAACTCAGCAGTTAGCTTGCCAGTTACTTCAAAAGGTAAGTTAACAAGTACATACTATGGGTGATAATCAGAATGAATTTCATTCTAAGAATGCTTAACAACGGACTGTATTAAGCAAACAAAGGCTAGGTGCCTTCTAACGGTTTGGCATTCTCCGTGTCTTAGAGAAGCAGGGACATATTCTGAGAATGTTCAGCCAAGAGGAACTTCACTTTTTCTTTAGTTTTGTAATTAAATGATGTTCAGTTTTGTACCATTTGCATTACCATTTACTTTGTATAACGTCAGTGATTTCAAAGGATCTTATCACTTCAATGCTTATCTAAAGTGTATGTATATATTTATAGCTGAATCTACATATAGATGTGCATACACATTAAAAGAAGTCCGGGGCCTTTGTATACTTGTTCAAAAGTGGCCAGTTTCTAAGCTCATGCTTCATGAGCATAGGGCCTTCAATATGAACCCACTCTACTGTTGATGAGGTGCAGAGTGGACCACGTCTTTGCACATTAAAGTTGAAGGTTTGTAAGGTTCATTCCAGATGCGTGGTAGAGCAAACCAATAAGTGATGTAACCTCTGTCTAGCAACAACAGCTGAAAAGACATTCCTTCTGACAAAGGAAATGCCAACCCCACTTTAAAAGTTAGTAACAAGTAGAGGCCCACACTCAATATGTGCATTTTATTAAAATGTATAGAGGGATGGGCACACCAACCAAAAAGTGAACAGGGCAATATGTTTTATAGTTATTTTGTTTAAAAGTATTTTCTTCATAACTTCCCTAACATTCCGAGTTCTTGATTCTTTGGCAGGGCACAGGTTAAAAAAAAAAGTTATCAGTAGACACGAATTTATTCATTATGAATCTCCCCTTTATCCTTGGATTGCAATCTTGACCACTAGGTAAGGGCCATTATCCAAGAAACCTGCATACCTCAATATTTCAGGGTTTTGGGGAAGTTTCTCTATCATTTTGGAACACTGTGCCAAACACAGAAAATGCTTTATACTAAAGACAATTTGATCAACCTAAGTCTAGAAAACCAAAGTGTACATACTCAGTCTGAGTACTTTCCACGTTTCAATTCAAAGGTTTGGCTTTGTGAAAACTTCCAGGTTTCACATCTTTACAAGAGTTGCAAACTAAGCATTCTGAATACTAAAGTACGTCTCCCTGTAATACATTTGTTCTAGGCTGGAATTTGCACTGTGGTCCAACTAGTATTTTTCAATAGAGTTTACAAAGTGCTAAACCCTATCACATTCAGCCAATACCGACACATAGTAAGTGATTCTACAGGACAAGGTAGAATCATTATTCTATAAGGCTTCCAAGGCTGTGAGCCATCAACAGAAGCAGACTGACATCTTTCTCCTGCAGAGCAGCTGGTGGGTTTCAACCGCTAAAGTTTCCGTTAGCAGCCAAATGTGTAATCACGGAGGGCTCCCCTCCCCAAGTACGCAAGGCCTCTATTATCTAGCATCTATTGCAAACTTCAATCCAGTGTTAGTGCTCTAACAAGGTTTAAACTCTAGAAGAATTGCTGCTTTATTAAAATTTTCTCCAGTTCTTAATGACCATACAAATTTGGAAACAGAACATTTACTTTTTGTACCCTCTAAATTTTCTATATTTAAAAAAATTACTTCAAAGCATATTTAAATAGAATATTTCAGTGAACACAAATTCTGTGAAGGGCTGAATCTAAAGACAAAGCAGAACTATTTTTAATTGCTTAAAGTTAATAAACTAAAGTCAATCTATCAGCATAATAATCAATTGTAAGAATCAGCTGCTTGGATTGCTCTTGGTAGATAAACCAGTTAATTGGCTTAATCAGAATGTATGGCTAGAATGGGCTACCCCAGTGGTTCTCAACCTTCCTAATGCCGTGACCCTCTAATACAGTTCCTCGTGTTGTGGTGACCCCCCAATCATAAAATTATTTTCGCTGCTACTTCCTAACTGTAATTTTGCTACTGTTATGAGTCGGACGACCCCTATGGAAGGGTCGTTCAACCCCCCCACCCCTCCCCAAGGGGTCGCAACCCACAGTTTGAGAAGCGCTGGGCTACACTATCAAGTTCACAATTACTCAAGTTTGGTAACTATCAAGCACTGAGAGTGGTATTATAACCCTTATGCCAATGGGGTATTTGCTAAATGGAACGTTCAGTCTTACTATGATAAAAATTACTTTCACCAGAGGGTTAATTTCCTATCAAGCATCCTACTGGAATTAATATAGCTACTGACTTAAAATCTGCTTTGTTTTTTTCCCTCTCTAGTCACTTGCTTAACTGAGAAGTAGAAGGAACAGGAGCTGGTGTGTCTAGAGGTAGAGCAAGCTCATGAGTGGTTTCACACCATCATGGCTTTACCTGGCTGCAGGGCTGAAATGACAGGGGAAAACAGGGTGGCAGGAAAGGTGCCCTGCACATTCAAATAACTTACCTTTCACTAGCAGGGAACCTCTGAATGCCCATCTCCTTTGGCTAAAAAGACTAGAATTCTTAACTGATTCTCAAAGAAACGAAATAAACCTAGCTAGAAAACGGGAGAAATGGCTTTGAACGTGAACATCACTCCTCACTTTAACTGTTTCACCATCTGGAGTGGAAGCCCACCCCTCCCTTCCAGCAGAACATGGTCTCACGATAAAAATCACAACCTGCTTGGAACCACATGCTATTTGGTGCATCCTATTTTTAGGCTGCTTTCATTAATTTTATTTTTTTTATACAGATACATACATAACTAGAATCAAAGTAAAAATATGAATGGGCAGGTACTAAAGAACTAAAGTGAAACATAACAAATCAAACAAAAGAACCAACATCAACTGAAAAACAACAGCTATAAATTTTCAAGGGCAAAGAGAAGACTTAGGGGCAACACCTGCTGAGGAAGGGAATGAAGCAGTATTGAGTTTCTAAGAGGTATTTATACTGCAAGTCTAATGCCAGCTTTTTAATAATAAAAATGAGATGTGCTTTAGGACTCACTGACTAGCACATGTAATGCTTAATTTGGAAAGAAAAATTAATGAATTCCTTGGGCTCAGCAGGTACGGTGTGTCCATTGCCGGCAACAGACACAGCACTAAAACAGAGAAACCCAAATCCCAGGACAAAAATATCTAGAGAGAAGAAATGGCTGAAGGTTTCAGAATTTGACAGGCAAGGTTTAATCACAAGTGCTACGCTTTGTACAATGTTATGGCTCTGCCTGAAATTTTACAGCTGAAACAAACAAAACAAAACTCATGTTTTAGTGTCACACGTATGATATTTAATTACAAAGGCCCTTTTCCTTTAAAGTATTGAGATGTTTGGAATGGATGCCATGCCTATTAATTTAAGTATAGTGGTAGTTCTCATTCAACTCTTTGTTGGTCATGTGACTACTGATGAATTTTAATAGAAGTCTAATGGCCAGAGGCCAAAACTCCATTCAAACCCTGCTAATATACCCAGGCAGATAGAACATTTTCTCTCTCATATAACACCACACACACACACACAAATTCAAACTAAAAAACACCACACACACACACACACACACACACACACACAAATTCAAACTAAAAACCTCCCAAAGGAACTGCTTTGTTTGTAGACTTCAATTTGAAGTAGATACTAAGGGCAAGAATAGACCAGTTAAAATTCACCTGAAAATCCATTCCCCAATTCCAAATGTGCTAAAACATCACTGTCAGCTTAGCATCTCTGCATGTATGTTATGTATAGATGTCGTTCATTCAAATTGATATTCCAGATATTTAAACATCAAGTGGTCAGAAAACAAGAATTATAGATTATCTGCAAAGTTACAGTCTACCTGGACCTTAAGGAAGACCACACTCATTCACCAATAAATCTCCATATACACAGTAATATTAGAAGCCACCTCCTCACCAATGCATAAAGCTGTTTTGAAAAAATTTGTTGTTAGCACAATCTGGTTGTCAAAGCTTCATTATACATTTTACTATACAAATACTTTTCAGATGATTAAAAAAACAAAAACAAGAAACTCCGCTAAAAACAGAAACTTAGGTTAGAGTTCTTTCTGATGGTACTTTTCTCCATCTCTTATTTATTAAGTGTGGTTATCTCCAATAGTAAACAAGTTGATTTCATGAAGGCAGTTACTAAATGATTGATGTATGATGTTATCTACAATTTGCAAACTGCAACAATACAGACTTGAACTTTTAAACAGTCTGTTAATCATCTATGCCATGAATGTTTAAATATAATATATATTTAATATGAAAAAGCTAAAGCACAAGTGCTTTCTCCTATCCCTAAATTCTGTTTTGGGCCCTCACTGATTCGGAATGCATTCTTATCCAACCCTTTTTCACAAAGTCAGGAGAGCTCAGGAAATAGAAAGTCAAAAATATACAAATCTTTTGTTGTTATTATAATAAGGTCTTTTTTTTTTTCACGAATGAAATTACCAAGGACCATGAGTTTGGGGGCGAAAATCAAAAGGAATTTACAGCAATCATTTATCTTCAAAGTTCAAAACTGGTCACTTCACAGAAAGACTTCAGACTTTGTTGAGATTTTGCTTCTAGAAAGTAATTCTGTTGTTGAGTTTTCTAGGAAAAATAAAACAACTTTCAATAACTGGCCGCTGGTGTGAGAGCTACCGTGGAATAAATTAGCACAAAAATGGGAGAGAAAAAAAGTTTTATAACTGTTCACTGTTACAGACATAATCAACAAGGTCAGTCACTCTCAAAAGCTCGTCTTCCTCCTCCTCTGGTGCCCCTGCTTCTTGCCCACCACTTGTCCCATTGGGAGCCAGGCTTACACTGGCTGCACTGCTGTCCTTGGGTGTCTGAGGTTTCTCTGCTGGTTTGCCAATCAAGTTCTCAATGGCTTTGCCAGGGCTCTGTCCATTGGTGGAAGGTAAGTCCACTAAGCTATAGTCCAATGGACTCCCCACCTTGCCTACATTTTCAAAGTCCTCTTCTTCATCACTTTCTATCCGGTAGGGCTTCTTGGTGCTCACCGGTTCTGAGGGCAAAGCCCTGGCATGGCTCTCATGGGCATGCTGATCTGCATCTCTGTGAGCACTGTCACAATTCTCCTCCTCATCAGTCTCAATCCGGTGTAGCCGTTTCCGGGATCGTTTGCCTTCATCATCATCCTCCTCATCTGCTTCTGAATACTCATCTGTGCTTCGGCCCCTCTTCCGAATGGACCGCTTTGATTCTTCAGCTAGCTCATCATCTTCAGAGTTCTTGGACATATAGCTCTCTAGAATAAACAGCACATTGAAGCCGTGACATAGGTAACAATGTACAGATTAAAGTAAATCTCCTTTTTGCTCCCTAAATATACACCCCAGTGACTGCATCTCAACTTTCTCACATACAAATATCTCTAATAATTATTCTATTTCTTAACTCTCAGTCCCATAATAACGGCCATCAGGATTCATAATATACTTTACCTATGAATTTAGGAGAAATTGATGATCATTGAATAAAATGAAGATAGGTTGGTCACAAAGTAAGAAATAATTCTCACTAGGCTTACAAAACTCACGTAAACATACTGATTAAAACTGGGCATTAAACTCTGGACCTTTGAAACACTGTGACAGCTCTTAAGTTATTGAAATGCTCTTGGTGGCTTCTCCTTTCTGTCTATTCCTACAGTTTGGGTGGTATCACCAGTATCCTGGCATTACATACCATCCATATACCGATGATTCCAAGACTTTATTTTAGATCACTCCTACAGTCTAGACTTCTGCCTACTCAACAGCTGCACTTGGATATTTCAACAGGTATTTCAAATGGAATGTGTCTGACTGAGCTCCTAATCTTCCCTCAAATCTGTACCCTTCCAGTGTCCCCATCTTCCTTACTGACTTAATTCTTTCAGGTCCTCAGTTTAGCTTGACCTGACCACCTCAATTTCTTTTTTCTCTCTCATCTAACCAAACAGGAAATTCTTTTTCTTTTTTTTTAACAGGACATCCTTTAGTTCTACTTTAAAAATAACATAATCAAAGGACCTTCCAGCCCTTTATTGCTACCACCCTATTGCTTCCATCCACTGTTCTCTCAGCTGAATGGTTCCAACTAGCTTTTGCCCTGTGGTCCTCCAGCCTAACCGAGACACACACCATCACACCAAGTTAAAGTCTAAGCAAGACCTCATCGCATCTTTGCTCACAACTACTTCACATCTCACACAGAATAAAATCCAAACTCTTTACATGGTCTGATTTGTGCTGTCCAATAAGGTAGCCACTAGACACATGTGGCTGTTTTACATACAAATTAATTAAAACAAAAGATTTAGTTCCTCATTCACACGGATTACATCTGAGGTACCTAAGAGTTACATGGGGTGCTTGGCTTTTCTCTTGAACACAATAGACACGGCTGCTCTTCACCAAGAAGTGATACATTTAGTTTTCAAAGGGCTAGTTAGTACATATTTTAGGTTTAGCAGGCCATACAGCATCTGTATAACTACTCAACAATGTCAGTCTATGATGAAAGCCGTCACAGATAATATGTAAATGAATGGATTGGGTAGATTTCACTTTACAAAATTGGTAGATTGTAGTTTGCTGACTACTTGCTCAGTAATATCTGGTCCCCTTTGATCTGTTTGCCCTCATCTCAAAATAACTCATTGAAAAATGGTTGTCAACTTCGCTAAGACACAATTTTTCAGTGAGCGGGTAGTTTGACAATTGCATGGTGATATAATTTGCCAGTTATATCTGTCAGACATTCACATGATACAATTATTTTCCATTTGTGATGGTTATAAATACTACAACCTCTATGCATTAATGAGGCAAGATTGGGTTATGCTAATGATTAGGCTGGGTTATAACACCCTTACTCTGAACCAATGTAAGGACCCTGGGGTGGCCAACATCACCTGTTAAAACAGACAAAAGGAGACAGAAGTGCCTGGGAGGGTGGTGGGGAGTGCCAGACTGGGGCATACCAAAAAGAAGAAGAGCTGGCCAGAGCTCTTCCTTCACACCGGGAACCCCTGCTCTGAAAAGCTCCTGATCCCAGAGAGAGAAAGGCTGATCCTAAGCTATATGGAGATCTCTAACACATGCTATGCCCACAGAGGTAGAAAGGAGACAAGAATTTCCCCTACAGCTGATAGGAAAAGCCTTTCCATAGCACTGGCATTCTGAATTTGGAATGCTAGCTTCCTAAATTGGGAGAAAATATAGTTGTTCGTCAAAGCCATGCACTTACAGTGTTTCTGTGACAGCAGCACTAGATAACTATTATTCTCTCTCACTCATTCTATTCCCACCACTCTGGCCTCGCTTGTGTTCCTTAAATATGTTAGGGGCAAATTTTTCTCAAGATCTTCCCATCTATGGCTGTATTTGCCTGGGTCGCTCTTGTTTTAGATAGCTGCATGGGGGGAGGGGGGCGCGCATGGAGGGGAAGAAAAGAGCAGGAAACTCTTGCTCAGATCACAATCTTCATCTTTTGGGGGATTGTTTCTGATTTCGGAAAATAATTTATTGTAATAGAGACCTTAAAATTTAGTATCTTGACAAATAACACTTATTTAAACTATAATTAATGATCAGACACAGAAGAAATGATTTTGTCTAAAACTTAGTATGAATTATATTTCTTTCAGTTCTTCAGCCAAATGTAGTTCCTAGTGATATCCCACAGTACCTTTTTAAAAATTCTAATTACTCCCCAACCTGTTTCTCCTTTATTTTTCTTCATAGAATTTCTCCACCTAATACAGTAGTATTTCCCAAAGTGGGTGATACCACCGACTGTTAAGTACTGGAATAAGAAAGCAGAAATCTATACTTTATCCTGGATTATGAGCTATAGTACAAAAGTTTTTCATTGTCAAAGGGGGGAGCTGAGTAATTATACTTCTAAAAAGAGGGCAGAGTAACCCAAATAAGTTTAGGAACCTATGTACTAATACATTACATCGTCTACTTATTATCTCTCTTTTCCTCCTAATAAAATACTGCAAGTCAGGTGATTATTTGGGGCTACTTTATTCACTGTTGTATTCTGAGAATATCACCTGCTTCAAAACTATTTATATTTAATAGCTGAATTAATAAATTTGTTTTCATGACCCAAAAAGATAATGAATACACACTCAACCAGTAGCTCACTCCCTTTCTTTAACCTCCCACATCCAAAGAACTCTTTCCTTCTCTCTCCTGGCTTCAGCTGTGAACTTAATTGACAAGGTTCTACAGAACAATTTTCAAAACATCATAAATAATAATATCCCCAAACCCAACCAAACTCACTGCTGACTCATAACAACCCTGTAGGACGGGTAGAATTGCCTGTGAGTTTCTGAGACTGACTGTTTATGGAAATAAAAAAGCCCCATGTTTCTCCTGAGAAACAATAAGTTGGTTTCAAACTGCTGATCTTGTGATTACCAGCCCAACGTATAACCATTATGCAAACAGGGCTCCTTTCTAAAATATATTAAGTATACAAAAAAGGCAAAAATTAGGAAAATTTAAACTGATTTCAAGATAAACTCTAGATTAAATAAAAATGCTTATAATTTCATAAATTCATATTTTAGGATGCTTCCTGCACTTTTCTGTATAGGAAGTAGATCAACCTATTAAAAGGTAGACTAACTACCAACTTAAGCTTACATGCAAGAGAGGGAGAGAGGAGATACCTTTGCTGGAACTTGTCAGCTATTTGGGCACAGGATTAGATTGCAATATGAGGGCCATGGATAACAGGGGAGTGATGGGAAGAAACAGGAGAACTCTTGCTGGGATGACCTTCTTCATCTTTTCAGATCATTTCGGGTTCCATCAAATAACTTACTTATTATAATAGAGACCATAACATTTACTTGTCAAGTATCATTTACTTAAATTATTAGTGATCAGGCCCAGAACAAGAGGTGTCCTCTAAAAATGGATTATATGTGATTGATTTTTTTTCTCCCTTGGTTTAGTTATTTTCGTTCTTTCTTGCTAACAAGGGAAATTAAAAAAAAATTTTATTGGGGGCTCGTACAACTCTTATCAAAATCCACACATCCATTGTGTCAAGCACATTCATATATTTGTTGCCCTCATCATAGAATACATTTTTTTCAAGCACATTTGTACATTTATTGCCCTCATCATTCTCAAAACATTTGCTTTCTGATTATGTATGACTTTTAAGAAACAGTATAGACCCATAACCCCAAGTTTCCTTCCTAAGTTCTATTCTGCTGTGTCTAAACATGGGAAAATGAGAGACCTATTCCTCACCTTCACTCTCTGAGCTGGAAAGCCTGCGCTTATGAATTCGCCTAATTTCTTTACCACGTCTTAAACTCTTCTGGGACCCATCACTTTCTGAATCTTCTTTGTAGTTAATTTGTCTTTTCTGGTTCCTCCTTGACCTCCTTCGCCGAGTTTCTACGAAATCATCACTAAAATCATCGCTGAAGTCACTTTCTGTTTAAAAAAGAATTATAAAAGTTTACTTTAGATTATTAAAAGATAAAGCTCCTAAGCAGTCAAGAAACATTTTTTTACATGAACAATAACTATTAGTCTCTTACTTTCTTTTATGTCCATTGCCTCATGGGCATTCAAAAGTTGAGTAATGGTAAGGAAGACCAAGGAGTTAATGCCTTTGAACACTGATTGTGCGATGGGATGAAAGAACAATGACCACCAGAAACAAAGTACAACCAGAATACTCCTTACACAGGCGATGGCAAGACTTTAGGTTATGTACTTTGGACATGTAACCAGGAGGCCCCAGTCCCTGAAAAAGGGCATTATCCTTAGTGAGTAAAGTAGAGGGTCAGCAAAAAAGAGGACACTCCTCAGGGAGAAGGACACAGTGGCGGCCGACAATGGGCTCACACACAGGAATGCTTGTGAAGATGGCACAGGACAGGCAATGTTTCCAAAGGCTGTCGTACTTAAGGTCCCGGACTCGGCACTGACGCAACAGAACCCAACAACATGGGAGTCTTCACCGAGACCCTCACAGATGTAAGCCAGTGACAGCCTCGAATGAAGACTAAAAACACTTTATACCTTGAAGCTCCAGCACTGCTCTTCTCATGAGTTACTGTTCTGCCTCCTGCAGACCTGCTATTACCTGTATCTACAGCAAGTCTTCACAACATAGCACAATTAGTAGACCTTCCTCAAGCCACCAAAAACTGACAAGCTTATTCCAAACAGAGTGCAGAATTCAGGGTTTTTTGCTTTTCGCTCTGAAGAATGGTAGTCTGTGAATAACGCCAGAGGGTTATGTATGCTCGCTCTTATCGGGTGGGATCAATAAAGAACTCATAGTCAGACCATGGAATTTTGTCAGAGCTGCTTTCCGAGAGTGCTAACAAATTCTAATGAATTAACACAGCCTTTCTGGTTGTTCTTTAATACATTCAAAAATGAGTAATCCAACAGTCGGAAGGGTCTGATTAGTCAAATCTGGAAATAATGGAGCCTAAACAATGATAGTAATAGATTATATCTAAATTAAGGAATATATTAATAATATAGATAAATTAGATGAAGGGAAAGCGCTTCCTTATAATAGACAAAGTAATAAAAATTTTAATGATGGAGTTATAAAATCATTAATCGCTATTAAAACTAGTGGGTGAGAGATTTGATGAGGAATAGGATATTTACAGTCTTAAAGTATCATCCCACAAATTACTTATTAATTACAAAGGGAAAAATTAGTACAGGGACAATCACTCAAAGACAAAACATTACATCTGTGATATTCCAACCCAAAATACATACCCTGAATCGAATCAGGGTATTCTATAAAACAATTATTAACCTACTTTTCAAAAATGTTAACAACAAGAATGATAGAGACTGGGGAATACTACAGGAGAATAATGAGACATAAATAAATGCAATGCTTGATCCTGGGTTAGCTCCTAGACTAGGGAAAACAACAGATATAAAAGACAAGCTTGGGGTAGGATGACACTGAATATGCTGACTGTACATAGGATCACTGTAATATTTTCTGATTTTAGTAAATATCTGTGATTATAGAAGAGAATGTCCTTAGAAATTAAAGGGGGAGGATGTCTCAAAAGGTATAGAAAATGAAAAGGGAAATAAACTACAAATATAATGCTCTTATCTGTAGTACTTCTCTAATAACAGCTACTCACTTATGCGCCAATTCCAGACACGCTTTCTGTTCACTTAGCTATTTACTCGTTAATCAGAACACACGTCAGTTATAAGCTTATTTATAAAAAGTACTGAATCACTGATGGCAGTCTAATTGTTGAAGGTAAATGGTGATCCCTCTTGCTGATCCAATTGCTCAGCATCAGAGAAAATGTTCTCATCTTATTGACCCTTGACTCCAAAAGAATTTATCACAATCAAAATATGTTCACATCAAAATTTAATGTATCAAGTGAATGAAATTTTGAGGCTTCTTAACTCTCGAGGCTGTGAGCACTTATTAAATCGGTGTGAAATAAATACAAGTAATTTTCACCCGAGTCTCGACTGTTGTCTTCAGATTCCTCCTCCTCATCATCATCAGAGTACTTTTTCTTCGGAGTCTTTCTCCGCAGGCGCCTGCTCTGTCTCATGGGCCGAGAGGGGTGTCGTCTCAGCCGACGGCCACAGAAATCCGTGTCGCTGTCATCGTTGGAGGGTGGCTCTTCTTCACTTTCGTCTGGGTTTTCATCAGACACAACGAATTCATCTTGAGATCTGTCCGAGAGAAACCAGCTCAGTGATGAGGTGTCCTTGGGATCACGAACCTAATTTTGAAATCTGCATTTAAACACAGGGAGTCTACTGCAACATATCTAAATGATTTCTACTTCCCTGTTTATAAAATGGGAAAATGTTTTGCTGCCTTTTTTCATTGTGGGAGTTACAAAGAAGGGTTATTACACATTACACAAAAATTGCTTTGGCTCCTAGGGAAGTCCCCCAAGTACTTTAAAAGCACTATGCCAAAAATAAATATATTATTCCTCAACCTATCCCTCTCTTCTGTGTGCCTCAATCTGGACTTTATCATAATTTTAAGTTATCACTAATATCTCCTTAGTCTCTCACTGGGTTCTTCCCTCTTCGGGTTCTCATCTCCTTCCTACAAAGTGAGAGCAACTTCCCAGAAGGTCTGAACTTAGTTAGGTTTCCCCTCAAAATTCCCTCCAAATGAATACCTGGATGAAGCTTTCTGAAACTTAAGTTTCACATGAGTCTGGTGTTTAACATGGTTGGGTGGCTTTTAATCATCTTTAACATAAAGTCCAAACACCTACATGACAGTAAATCACAAAGTATTGCTATTAGAGTTCCAGGTCCTACGTGTACGCGTATATTAAAAATAAAACATGTTTAACCATGTCTCCGTGACCAGTGGATGGCTACATAGAAGTACTCTCAGTAATATCCTTCCTTGTTAGGGCTTCTGGAAAAGGAGGGGGAAAAAAACCCTACTTTTTGTGTCAAAGGGGGAAAAAATATTTTAAGATCAAGGTTAATCGCAGATTTTAATCAAAATATGAGTGAACATCGTCTCAAATCACTGAAGAATTGCAACAAGATAACAGATATGCTGCCACACATAAAACAGGTTTCCAGACAGAATAAGCATTGTAATTGAGGACCTAATGCCGGGGGCTTAAGTGGAGAGGAAATGTTTTGAGAATGATGAGGGCAATGAATAAACAAATGGGCTTTGCACAATTGATGTATGGATGGATTGTGATGAGTTGTATGAGCCCCTAATAAAATGATTTTAAAAAAGCATTGTAATAAAGGTCAAAAAGACCTCCAAGATGAGATAAGAGAGGAAAGACTATGACCCTCTCCAAATCTAGAGCCTGTGGGTGGAGTCCAGAAATGGATGGAAGTCCATCAAATTACCATCTATGCAATAGTACTAAAGTAGGAATCTCATTCGGTTTGGCATTTTCAACTTTTAAGTGAACATCTTGACTTCAGCAAATTCTCCGCTAGATGGATGCCTAAAAGCATGTATGAAGATGATCGAGCTTAAATACTGATATTTCCAAGTCTTTTAATCAAGTTCAAAGGTAAGGAAAACAATTTCACAGAACAATTGTGAGGACAAATACTGAATTTACCAATAGGATACAGAGAGCAACGTCCCTTCAACACAATGGCTTCAGGGAGGATCTTCTGGGCCAGTTACATTCAGTGTAGCAGTGTTACTCAGATGGCTATGGGATTCCAATGGGTTATCTTACTATATTTTCTTGCATCGCATAGCAATCATGGTTACTACTATGAAGAATTTTTAAGAAAACTGAACATTGTATCGGTTGACAAAGGCCAGGAAAGCGGCAATGAAGAATGTTTTCCTTCACAGTAATGCCCCTGCTTATTCTTCAGGGCAGTAAGGGCCATCCTATGAGAATTTTGTTGGCAAGCCCCATCCACCCCAGACCCCTGATCTTGCCCCTTCAGACTTTTGTTTTGAAAACTCCAAGGAATTTACAGGGACTATGATTTGATTCCTTGAGGACGCCAAACTTGTAGTATTGATGTGATTTCAATTGAGTGCAGAATTCTTTGGGGAAGGGTTAAGGAATTGGAAACACAGCTTTCTTGTTGCCACGGAGTCGATTCTAACTCATTGCAACCCTACAGGACCGGGTAGAAATGCTTCTATGGATTTCCAAGATTAACTTTTTACTGGAGTAGAAAGCTTTACTTGTCTCTTAAGAAGCAGCTGGTGGCTTCAAATGGTTGACCTTGTGGTTAGCAGCCTAATAGGTAACCCATCATGAGGCCAGGGCTCTGTAAGTCAGCTTTTAAATGTGTCTAAACCTAGATGTAGTGTATGTGGGAAAAAATAGCTTTATGTTTTTAAATTTCTATAATAAAAGTTTCTATGACTTTGACGCAATCCCCTTTGACACACCTGAATACTTGACAAATAGGATACTCCATAACTAAATATCCCTCACCCCTTAAAAAAACAAAACCAGAAACATTCTCTCTGGTATATCTATAGGGGGCCACTTGATACTTCACTCTCTCAAGTATATGTATAGGAGGTAACACTTCATCCACAATATCTTTGCTATTCTAAGCCACTGAGAGTTCCCCAAATATCCTATAATGCCTTGAGACACGTGACGTCTCTGCTTAGAATGCCTTATTTCCTTCATTCTGTCTCGAATCCACAACTCATTAACTCCGCCAGTTAGTCTTTCAACATATTTTCAAATTAATTATGTAAATGTGAAAATTTCCCTGGACTGAATCAACTCTCCCCTGTATATGATTTATAATTTATAGTATTTTATTTAGGGAAGGAGAGGAGGATGGAAACCGTTTTAAGGGAAAAAGCTTTTATTGTGAGTTAGGGTGAAGATTTACAGAACACATCAATTTTCAATTAACAATTCATACACATCTTACTTTGTCCTTGATTGTAATACTCACAATGTAACATCACTTCCTCCCTATGTTTCCTATCTATCTGTTCTTCTATGCTAATAAGTTTTCACTTTTTGTGTGAATACTGTCCTTCGATAGCAAGTGGATGACTATACAAAGGTTTGTGCATACCTCATTAGTGTTATTGTTCCCCTTACAGACTTGTCTATTGTTTAGCTAAAAATTAAACCAAGTGGTGAGTTCATCATTTACAGACCTGAAAGGTGGCTAAGGGCCATGGGATTAAGTTTCTCATTCTGACCAGTAAGATTGGCCCTTAAAAAAAAAAAGCACTGTAAGTTTTGTTCCATATTTCCTCCCACTCGTTTAATGACCACCTAATGAGATTCTTTCCAGTGCAGTCATAGTAGCCAGCTACCATCTAGTTCTTCTAGTGCCAGGGTTAAGGAAACAGATGTTCCAGTGGTCCATTACCCATAGGACTAATTGATTGCTTCCTGTGTCTACAAGATTCATCATTCTTCTTTTGTCTGGACTAGGAGAGATTAGAACACTGGCTTTGTGGACCTAAATGTCCCCTGAGACAATGGTCCTAAGCGCCCAGGCCTCCCTTGATTGCATTTTACTGATGATCCTATACATGGCTTTTTGGTCATTATGATTTATGCAATTTTAATTTCACTAATAATAGGAAAGGAGCAGTCTATCAATATTGTTTCAATAGCTGGTTTACCAGTAAGCTTTTCCTAAGCTTCCAGGCAGGATTATTTGCCACAGCTCCAACCTCTTTAGGTCACTAGAGGAGACGCAGTTGTAGAATCACTTACATACCTGGTTTTGATACTTGGCTGGGACCCTAAAGAGCATGGATGGTGTTTCACCTTTGAAGCTCAGGAAGCAGCACAAAAGCACAGAAAAAGGGCACGCAACGAATGATAGTGCATTTTCAGTTCATCATAATTAAATATAATTTTGAACACTGAAGAATGAGCCATAAACCTACTTTGTATTGATAGTATAAGAAAACAAAAACACTCAAGATCAGCATTCTTAAATCGGCTTTAAGCATCCTGAAAATAGAAGTTGTCTATATAAGGCAACAAAAGAGGCCAACACTGGATAGCCCAGGAGCCTCTCTCTGCCAGTCCTACGTACACCTGCATCTTGGAAACAAGGTCTACTGGCAGCCCACGCACCCATCACTGATCTTGAATTCATCCTCACTCTCTTCTTCATCCAGGTTGCTGTCACTGTCCAGATCATTCAGTCGCCGCCGTTTCTTACGTCGAGTAGCAGCAGCCCTCTGGGGTCGTTTATTTTCTTTTCGTTCTTCATCCAAAATAGTAGAGATGTCTTTCCCACGGTGACCGGTGATGGTGGAGATATCTTTTCCTCGGCCAACTCCTAAGTGAGTCACAGAGTTAAGAATTAGAGAAAAAGACACAATATACACTTATTAAAAGCTTCCATTTCTATCAATTGTCATTCTCTGGGGTTAGCAACCCTTCACTGAATTCATTTCCTACATATATACAGAAGTCAACATTCATAGTTCCCATCAAGAGTTTTAGCATTGCTTTACATTACTGGAAAGTTCATTATATAATCTTTACCTCATCTTTTAAAAAATAATCCTTACACTATAATATACACCTTTGAAAAATTAAAATATAATTCACTCTTGTAAAATTATAATGCAGAAGTCATATATTTAGAAATTATTTAACTATCATTACTAGTTCCAGAAACTCTCTTCTTGAAAAATGTATTTAGACATGGCTTTAGAAAGAAGTTATATTTTATTTGCAGTACATAATAAGATTGGAACTCAGCAACAAAACACAAATAGGGTGCACCTTCAGTGACTTTTTCATTGGCACTACTGTTCTGATCCTGTGTTCAAATGAACGGAACACTGCCAGTCCTGCAGCAAGACCACAACCGTTCTATTTGCGCCTGTTGATGTAGACACTGGGCCGATCCATGTTATTGAGGTTTTCCTCCTCTTCACCGTTTTCTTCTGCACCACGCATGATATCCGTTTTAGGATCTCTTCTAATAGCATGCCCAAATTACATGCAGCAAAGTTTCACCCTTCTCATTTCTAAAGAGCTTATTGGCTGTACTTCTAAGACAGACTTGTTTATTCTTCTGGTAGTCCCCAGGACCTTCAATATCCTTAATCAGCACGATAACTTAAAATATACAAGTTCTTCTTTGGTTTTCCTTATTCACATACAATACAATGAAGTAAGTGAATATATCCTAACCTGGGTCAGCTGCACCCTAGTCCTCAAAGCAGTCTTCAATATTTTAACAGAGTCTTATGCAGCAGATTTGCCCAATGCAAACAACCTACTTACTATTAACCTTTCCCAGAGCATTTAAAACCACCACATGCTATATATTACAGCACAAATATGTCAGTCTATATAATTGGTTATATATACCTTTAATAACACTACCTTCAAATTACATTTCAATGTTTATGAAATTAAGAAATGGAGTTTTTATACATTAATTTAAAATACACTTTTTTATTCTGATGAAAACTCAAAGCATTGTAGCCATGCTAGTGTGAAAATAGTACATAGCAGGAAAGCTGTGTGTGATTTCTACTTGGAGTCATAATAAAAATGTTCAACGTGAACACTTATGTTTCATACTGGATCATAAAACTACCTTTAAAATAATCACTGAGATGAGTCTTAATGCAAATAGCATGCTCATAGTTTATTTTGGATCAGAAATTAACTTGAACAGTTCCTGTGATGAATAATGACAGAGAGAATGCAAAACATGGTCACTGACCCAACTAGGGCCTCGTAGCCCCCTTGTGGGCAGTCAGAAGAAGACAAGAGAATGACACACACATACCTCCTCCATCAGCCTCTTTGATATCGTCTTCGATGGCTTCATCAATTGCTTCATCAAACTCATCAAACCTAAAATATACAGAAGAACATGTTCGCCTGTCCTGACAACTGGGCTATGAGAGTTCCCTCAAGAACCAGCTCTCTGGACTGCTCAACTGTGTCTTCACCATTTCATCACACTCCTTTCACCCTCCATTTCTTCTGTAAGATAGGGTTTCGGGAATCGGTACCTAATTCTTAAGTTATTGTTTGGTTGCTTTTGAAAAGACATTTAAAAACTAGGGCCAAGCTCCCCAAATAAATAAATTAAGAGCCATTTAGTGAATATTTTGCAAGCCACATAATTTCTGTTGTCAGTTTGTTAGCAGTCACATTTGATTCTAAAAAGCATACAAGTGTGGCTATGTTTCAGTAACATTTTATTTATGGTCACAGAAATTTTAATTTCATGGGATTTTATTTTTCTTTTGAAGCTTTCAACCATTTAAAATCATCAAAGCTTAAAACCATTTTTAGGTTATGAACTGTACAAAAATAAAGTAGGCAGGGGGGAGCGGGGAAGGAGGGGGAAAAAATGAGAAGCTGATGCCAGGGGCTTAAGTGGAGAGCAAATGTTTTGAGAATGATGAGGGCAATGAATGTACAAATGTGCTTTACACAATTGATATATGTATGGATTGTGATAAGAGTTGTACGAGCCCCTAATAAAACGATTAAAAAAAAGAAAAGAAAAAGGGACTTAAAGTAGGGGGGAAAAGTAGGCTGGATTTGCTATATAAATCATATGGCAAAGAACATTAGCCTTCCACAAATAATATAAGGATTACATTAGCAAAGAATACATAATTATTACTTAAATTATAGAATCCAACGATATATTAGAGTTATTTATAAAGACCAAGTGTGATTCACAACAGGGGTGCAAGATGGTTCACAAAACAACGCAAAGAATAAGAACCACATGACCATATCATTGAATTAAAAAACTCACTGCCATCGAGTCAATGCTGATTCCTAGCAATCCCCGGGGATTTCCCAGACCATAACCATTTACAGGAGTAGAAAGCCCAGTCTTTCTTCCACAGGACTGCTGGGGGTTTCAAACTGCCGACGATGTAGATCGCAGTGCAACACATAAGCAATACACTACCGGGGCTCCTAGACCTAAAGCTATAGCCCAAATCAAATAAAACCAGAACAATAAATGCTGGAGAGAGTGTGGAGAGATTGAGGCTGTTACCCAATGCTTGTGGGCAGTATAACCATGGTGGAAAATGCTAGGTTGACACCTAAAACTGGCAATAAAAAGACCCTATGCCCCAGCATTCCTTTTGTTGTGCATGTACTCTAGGGAAATAAGAGACAGAGTACCAACAGATACGCTCTCCCATACTCAATGAAGTACAGTTCACAATAGCAAGAAGAGAAAAAAAGCCCAAATACCCATCAGTACAAGACTGGGTACAGAAACGAGTAGATTCACATGAAATCATGAAACATCTCATGACATGGTTGGACCCAGAAACCATTACGGTGAGTGAAGTTAGTCAATCACAACAGGATAAATATTATGAGTCCATTACCATATAATATTTTTACCACTCATACATTAGAGCACCAAGACAAAGGGAGGCTTCTGCTTTCAAGTCATGTAATCTTCCAATCAGGTCTCCCAAGCAGTGAGCAGAATGCCTGCCTAGTGCCCACAAACCATGTATCACACTCTATCTGTACAACTTAAAAACTATTTGACAGACCTCACATGGGGTCAGTTTTTCAAGATGGAGGAAGGAAGAGAAAAACATGCAGTTTCTGCTATACAACACTGTGCTAAGACCACCCCAAATCTATACACATTTCTATAAGACGGAAAAGCAAACCTAATGGAAATTCAGCTCAAGATGGGGAGAGGCATGTAAGGCTTGAAAAAGGTGGTCACATTTGATATTGGGGAAACCAGGTGGAACAAACTTCCATTGGAGAAAAAACAGTTAATCCTTGTATTGAACCCAAGGGAAATATCAGAACTATGCTCCTAATTAGACACCTATGGCATAGTTTCTTGGTAATCCAGGCCATGTGTTATAGACTATGGAGTCTCTGGATTCCTTCCTTTCGAGGCTCACAACCTTCACACTAAAAGATTTTGATGTGAAAACACCAACTAAGTAACTAAGTGATACCTCACACTCACTTGTAGTAGATTTAATGGACTTGAGGCTGAAACCCCCCAGTGTAAGAAGTAGACAACTGAGACCCTAAGGTTATGGAATTGGTGGGTGAGGGACTTGGTTCAGATCTCTTGTTTTGAAGGTACCCAACGAATGGTAACTCAGGAATACGGATGAAAAGTTCCTCTTGCTATCTTATTACATCTATTAGTCTAGTATGAATAGTCCTGCTTTTGTGAATGAGTGTTATTAAAAGTTTTGCCCCCCCCCCAAAAAACAACAAAAAATAAAAACAAACAAACAAACAAACAAAAAGTTTTGCCCCATCACCAACCTTTATTCATTGTTCTTATAAATTGTGTACAATCACTTAAGACTTTACAAGTCAACAATTCATGTACTGCGATCTGAAACCACCATATACTTGTGTAATTTTCCTGTTCTCAACAATATTTTAAATAAATTCTATGCTGACTAAATTAATGACACTATTAATAGAATAACTTTATGCCCCAGGGGGATGACTTATAATGTTCTCTAACATAAAATGATAACAATGTCTCTAAGGAAAGCCAGAGACATATATATAAACCACAGAGATTTGAATGGATTTCAGGCTCATATATAATTCTAGACCTGATATAAGGATAATAAGTTCTTATGACATGATCCTATTCGATATTTACACTCACTAAAGAAGATATGAGTGCGAAAGCCAAGGGTAATGAAGAAAGCAAGATGGTCCCTGCCTATCAGAAAGAGTAACATCTGGGGTCTTAAAGGCTTGGTTCAAACGAGCAAGCCATCTGAGTGTGGCGTCAACTAAGTAAATATCAAAGAAGCACACCAGCCTGTGTGATCCAAGGATTATAAACAATAAAACCCAAATCTGGAGGGAATCGTACTAGAGCTAAAAGTGTAAACACGTGATTTGCAGAAGGCTATGGATGACAGTGGAAGCCCAAAATCCATTTGCAAGGGTCTACACATGGCTTAAGCCTCTGGTGAAACCCTTCTAACCATAGTTCAGGGATGTAAATAGCCTTGCTATCAGCCGAAGAGCATTGTAAAGTCAATTGTAGCAAATATAGTCAAGTTAAAATGTATTATCTTATCATTTGTTCTCACTGTTCAGCCATTTTAAAGTTGTTCAAGTTTTAATATTTCCTGCTTTCTTTATGCTGAAGGTTTATATGTTTTGTCTAGTTAGTTGTTGGGTTTTGTTTGTTTTCTGTTTTGTATAATTTTTCTGTATAAAAAGATCCAGGCATAACTACTCTTGTGGGTTTCTGAGAATCCAACTCTTTTATGGGAGTTGAAAGCCTTGTCTTTCTCCAGCAGAGCAGCTGGTGGTTTTGAACTCCTGATCTTGTAACTAGTATGTCACCAAGACTCCTAAAGATCCAAGATAAATATATAAGTAATGGCTGATGACCACTGTGATGGGAAAAGCATTTACTTCTAGGTCATACTGTCTAATTTTAAGAGGACTTTATATTTATTGAAAGCATTTCCATATATCACATACCTATAACTTATACATTTCCGTGTTCTTGTTGACCTCCTTTCAAGCAAGTTCACTTTTGATTTTTTTGAATCCTTTTTCTTTTCTTCTTGATCTTCAGAAAAATCTGGCTCCTTATTTTAAAATAATAAGAAGTATATGGCTTAGTACTCCTGACATTATTAGCTTTCTAATCTCAACTAGAATAGCAAATACCGAAAATTTGTAAAGTTTACAGGGGTTCCCCTAAAACAGAAAAACTACAGTACAATGACCTGCACTGATCAAAGAGACTATTGGGCCCAATGAATGAAGCACTTCTGTATCAGATATCTTATACTTCTGTTAATCTATAATTAATCTTTTTGAACAATGATGTTTTTCCACCAATATATGATTTTAACAAATAATTATAATCTATAAATATGCTGAATGAATGGAAGAAAGGTTTTAAAAGGAGAAGGGAATGTTATACTGAAAGATAAAACCTAAACAAGAGGCTATTTGTTGCTATAAATTAAAACTGAAACTGCTTATGAAATGTACAAAATGTCTTAACTTCAAATGAAAACCATATTATATGGTAAAATGACCTTCATTATAAACTGGACTACTACTAAGTGTTAACACAATGATAATCCTTCACTGAAGCCAAGCCATGACTAAAAATACAAGTATAAGCTTCTCTGTTTTCCCACCAGAGCAAGGAATGAAGAATCAGAACTTTCCCTGAACTATTCTTTAGTCATTTTGCATAAACAGCACATAGAGAGACTAACAACAAGTTAATCAATTTGGTATAATCACAATGAAACATATACTCCATGGGTATATACTATAAAACTTGGTTAGATGTACGAGGCGGTACTCCCCAAAAAACCATAATTTTTTCCACCAAATCCATGTATTTGAATTTTTTACAAAAACAACCTTATCACCTTCAAAGTATTCTCCACTACAATTAATACATTGGTCAAATCTGTAATTCATTCTTGGAAACATTTTTTCCAGACTCCTTTTTTTTTTCTTCACCTCTTCCACATCCTCAAATCGCTGTCCTTTCAGGTCCCTCTTCATTTGCGGAAACAAAAACAGGTCACGCAGAGCAAAGTCTGAGGAGTACAGTGCATGGGGCAAGAGAATTGTAGTGGGGATAAAAACAGTCTCCTGTCTGCCACAAAACAGGCTTTGTATTGAACATTGTTATGCTATCTTTTTCAGAACTTCTAAATAGAAAGCTTCATTAAGGAAGTGGATGGACATCCAGAACAAGGTTTGTCATCAGTCAACATTTCATCTTTTTTGAAACAGAAAACCACCTGTATACTTCAGTTTTTTCCACTTGTAAGCTGTGCTCAACAGAACAGTTCCTGTGGCATTTGTCCTGAGCAGGAAACAAAATTTCACAACTGCACACTGTTCTCTTAAATTGGCTATCACAAAAAACAAGGTTCCAGCAAAACTGCATTACGAAAAAATTCACTAAGTCCAGAGTGAACCTTCCCAGGCGATGCCACTGGGTACACTAACTCAGAGCGAGTTGCTGGATGCTCGTCTAGCAGGAAAAATGTGTACGAAGAGAGCTCCCCTCTGCCTAGTGCAATTCTGGTGTTTAGGGGGATACCCGTCATATTACCACATTTTTTAATATATGTAATATTTTAATCACAGGGGGTTTGTGGGTAAGTTTTTATTTTCCTTTAATGATCTTGAATTCTCACATTTAATGAAACAGGTATATATTTTAAACTAGTCACATCACATAATATGGATTAAATTTTAGATTATGATAGTTTCCCCTTTAAAAATACCCAGAAACTTACTTGTGGTGGAATGATGTTTTCAATACTGATACCCACATACACCAAGCGTTCTTTCCTTTAAGTGAAAAAACAAAACAAAAACACACAAATAAAAGGAGATTTGCTAAAAATCAGAGTGTTACAAAAATTATTACAAAAATATCACTAATTTTACCAATACTACTATTAGGATTTCATGGAAATAACAGAAACCAGGTCAAAACAGTTTGCCTATCACATAGTATTGTTATTATCATGAAAGGCACAACATTCCCTGAGGGTATGAAAACTATAGCTTTTGTAGCAATTTATAATGTGAAATAAAAATCATAACTGAAATAAAAGAAAATTCACAAATAGAATCATAATGATATGATTAGATGGAAAGCCATCTTTTAAGATAAAAGAAATCTTTCTTATGTTGGGTGTTGCAGTAATTAAGTGTACGTTACATAGGTATAATCTCATGGTAGTAAATATCACTCTATTAATAAAAAGCATTCTGTGTAACAAAATCATACCAGGAACTTACACTAGGAACATTTACCTCTTGCTTAGATAAAAGCAAACAGTCCGATGCCTCTGCATTTAGAGACGGCATGCTGAAGAAAGCTTTGTGCCCAGTTAAGACTTCTGCTGGAAGTGAAGGACTTAGACCAGTGGTTCTCGACCTTCCTAATGCTGTTACCCTTTCATATATTTACTCATGTGGTGGTGATCCCCAACCATAAAATTATTTTTGTTGCAACTTCGTAACTGTAATTTTGCTACTGTTATGAGTCGCAATGTAAATATCTGATATGCAGGATGTATATTCATTGTTACAAATTGAACATAATGAAAGTATAGTGAATAATCCCCCAAACACTATGTAATTATGTATTGTGAAATATTTGTTTCTAATTACAAATAAATGAAATTTTGTCTTGAACATGGTGTAGCATGGGTAACAGTCTTCACGAGTCTTCTACTCCTGTATGGGCATATATGCATGTGGGCAGACCAGCCTGGAGACTGACAGAGGAGCCGTGTCCTGGTTCTTAAGACTATCGGAAATAATGTGTTTTCTGATGGTCTTAGGCAATCCTTGTGAAAAGGTCGTTCAATCGTCTAAGGAGTCCGTGACCCACAGGTTGAGAACTGCTGACTTTAGACAATTAATGACACCTCTTTATTTTCAGTTCCAAGAAATAAACCTTTGTTGATTTTAATGCAAAACATTTGACATAACAAATTTAAATGGTCTGGTGATGTTACACTAAACTGAAACTGTAAGCCACTTTTCCTCTCTCTACCAGTACACATTAAAAAGCCAGCTGGCAAGGTCCTTTAGATTGTATCCTTTGTTGCCAAGCATCTGCCTTTTAGGTCCTTGACCCTGCTAACAAGAATTTTATGCATGTTTTACACTCAGGATATTAAACTATAAAATAAAAATTAATACATAAAAAGTAATAAAGTTATTTTCATTTAAACCTAATAAAAATATAGTTAATAAACTAAAAACTAGGAAAGGCTAGTACTAGCAATAATAAGAAAAACTTAATGAATATGCTATAAATTGAGATATATGTTATCAAATGTTTGCTATATGAGTGTCCTTACCATATGTAAATTTACTGAGATTTGTTAACACCTAAAATGTTTCTACTTTGATAGGTCACTACTTTTTACCTTAATTCAAACTGACATCTTTTTTTCAGTTTTCAACATATTAGGTCAGGGTTTTTGTCAGCCTTGGGAATCAAAAGGTGCCTAACCTCATGATTGTTTGACAAGGACTATATAGTCTATTATGAACAGGCATCATGGAAACATGGAAAAGGAAGAGATAATTTTTCGTTTGAAAAAGAGATCTGAAAAAAGCTACACATAGGTAGAAATATTTCAGCAACATCTTAAAAGTAGGTTCAAATTTTTACCACATCCTTCTCTTGCTCAGTAATCTTGAAGATCTACATATTTTGTCATGGAAAGAAATAGCAACCATTCCAGCTCACTACACCCTAGCTTAATGATCATGTTTGGCATAAACCTTATCATTACTGAAAACCACACCACTTCCAATTTTCAATTTGGGGCAGTCAACTTCTACTGTCTCTCTGTGCCGCTCACCCCCTCACTGTATTGATTCCACTAGGACTATACCCATCACTCTCCTATCATCTCTATTTTGCCAGTCACTCCCTTTCACATCCTATCTTCCTCACCTGGTTTAGACTCCAATGGCTCATCATTATAACCACCTCTGATGAAATCCAATTCATTAGTAGCAAAATATTATGGAAATATTTTGAACTGTTACAATTCCCAAATTATTTCCAACAACACATTTGAGAGCAAGCATTTACAAATCAGGTGTGAGAACTTGTGAAACGTCAGTTAACAGAAGCGAATGGAGGTAATGAAGGCAAGAAGAGCAACTAAGAGACAATGGTCCCATCTTCTTCTACTAGCTACTGCACAAATGGGCAGCAAGTCCTACTGAAGAGTCTTCTGACATTTTTCCCAATACCTCCATCTTATTATCCACCGTGATTGCCTTAGTTCAGGGCTCATCAGTCCTCAGAATCTTTACTTCAAGAACCACAAAATCCTAATTGCTTCAGTTAAAAAAAAAAAGGGGGGGGGGTTGCTAGTTCTTTTTCCTTATTACTATCACAGTAAATTTTCTGAAATAAAGATATGATTATAGCTAGTCACTATCTATAGAGAATTAACAGATTTGCCATCCAACCTCAGAGATGTTCCACAACTGGTCTTACCTTGCTTTTTTCTTGAATCGCTTTGCTACTCTCACTTGTACATTGTAACATTGCAAACATTTGTGCTCTTTGCGTTCAATGCTCAACTCCTCTCACTATACACTTGCATAACCACTCCTTATTTTCCCAGTCTTCCAAAATAACTCCAACTCTTAGAAGAACAAAAATGTCCTCCACACTGATGTCATGAAAACACTGGATTAATCTAATAGTATCATGAGTATATTCCCCTGTTATGTAATTCGCTTGGATTAGTTTACTTCTTGCTTCTCTGAGAGAATGTGACCTACAAGTAATCAAGAGATTTGACTTACTCATTTTGTTTTCAGTTCCATACACAGTATGTGAGAATTAGTGTTCAATAATAAATTAGTCAAAACCAGGAAAAACAAGTAATTCACTGCCATAGAGTCAACTCTGACTCATATATAGACCAGGGCAGAACTGCTCCGGTGGGTTTCTGATCACGTAACTCTTTACAAGAGTAAAAAGTTTCATCTTTAGTCCATGGAGTTGGCTAGTGCTGACCTTGTGATTAGCAGCCCAATACTTAACAGCTATGCCTCCAGGATCCCTTAAGAAAGTCAGTCAAAAAGGTACAAATAAACCGTGCTCTCTTATCTTTTGAGCTCCCTTTTAAAGCATAGGCACAAAAAATGAAATAAAATAAAGAATAGGCGCAACTTATTAGTCTTACCTGCTCAAGGAAGCCTTCTCCAACACGGTGAACCCACTACAGTGGTGTACTGAAGGGAAGGCAGCCTTTCCTCAGTGTTAAGTCTCACTGCCATTGAGTCAATGGTGACTCATAACCACTTCCTACGGGTTTCGGACACTGAAACTGTGTATGTGAGTAGAAAGGCCAATCTTTCTCCTGATGAACTGCTGGTGATACTGAACTGTCGATCATGCGGATTAGGTCCATCCAAAGAAAATGAATAACTCAATCTAGACCAGATTTTATACCTGTTTTATATTCTCTACAAAAATCACGTAGGTACACATCCTCCACAATACTTAAGGCAGTATTTATTCAGAGTAGGTTCCAATAAATGCTTTGGATCCGGGGTTGGCAAACTTTTTTCATAAAGGGACATATAATAAATATGCTAGACTTGGCTGATTATAAGGTCTCTAGTACAGTTAATCAATTACGATGTTTTAACCCCAAACACACACAATGCATAACTGAGAGAGCAAAGATATGTTCATATTAAGCACGATTCTAATAATAATGGGAACAAGCATGAAGAAAATATTTGAAAACGGATTGTGGTGATGATTACACAACTCTTCTTAATGCGACTTAATTGATGAATTGTGTATGTGAATTATATGTCAGTAAAACTCTTGGAAAACAACAACAAAAAAATGAAGTTGGAATTTTAAAAATAATGTACATATATTTGAATAACCTACCATTTTCATATTATAAAATGCTATTGTCTTGAATTTTTAAAATAATTTAAAACAAAAGATCATTCTTAGTCTGCAGGCCACACAAAACAGGTATTTGATCCACAGGTCAGGTCATAGTTGCCAACCCATGGCTTTAGGTGATCACATACATTTGTATGGCAGAATAATTTTGCTGTCAACCACTAATAATACATAATGCAATACCTTCGTTCAGCACGCTCCTTCTTCTTTAAGGCAACATCCAAATCTTGCAACTGCTCCTCTAATTTCTCACATAGTAATTTCTGAGGGAGCAAAACAGATGTTATTTCTTTATGAACAAACACCCTTCCAAAATCATTTATCAAAGGTATATTATGCTCAACAATTTATTGCTATAAAGCTGTTAAGAGGCAACACAGCGGGTAAAAATGTTTTCTTTGTGTTTAATGCAATAGAGAGGTGCTTGAGCATCCTTCCAAATTAAAGGTAAGGACATCCTCTTTGGGACAAAGCATCTGTTAGAAAAATCTGTAGTCTCACCAGAAAATGTACTGTGCCAATCAGAGCTAGAAACACAGGGACTGTTAGCCCTCAGGACCAATAATGAGAACAGAGATACCAGGAGGGGAAAGGTGGGGTGGGGAGAATAATAATAATAATAATAATCTATATATAACCCTCTCCCCGGGTGACAGACAACAGAAAAGTGGGTGAAGGGAGACATCAGACAGTGTAATACATGAAAAAATAATAATAATTTATCAGCCATCAAGGGTTCATTATGGAGGGAGGGGGTAAAAAATAAGCTGATACCAAAGGCTCAAGTAGAAAGAAAATGTTTTGAGAACAATGATGGTAACAAATGTACAAATATGCTTGACACAATGGATGTTTGTATGGATTGTGAGAAGAGTTGTATGAGCCCCCAATAAAATGATTTTATACACACACACACAGAGTCCCTAGCTCGCTGGCAGTAAATACCGAGAAAGCAAGGGGACCGATGGTTCTGGAGGGACTTGGGGGAGGAGGACGCGAGGGAAGGAGCGGTGAGCAAACAACGCCATAGACAGGGGAACTGGGAATTAAAATCAACAGCAAGGAGGACTAGAGATCCTGGGGGTGTTGCAGCAACAACAGTATAGCTGAGAGGAATTACTAAGAGGCAGAAAGGTGAGCGGTGGTGGGGTAGGAGGAAGGCAAAAGGAAACAGGAAAGATCTAGGAAGCAAAGCTATGAATAGACATATAAACATAGGTGTGTACATATGTAAATACGTTAATTCATAAAAATAGAGGTATTGGCCTATGTACATATATTTTTATGACAATATATTATGTGAACCTTGCCAGATGGAATACACAAAAATCAAATTGACAAATTGACTTCCCAAATGTGGGAAGATATAATGGAAAAATTCACTATCATTATTAACTTGAACAGAGCAGATCAAATATTGCTTATATGTAAGTACAGGTTGAAGCTAAAGAAAATTAAAATAAGTCCATGAGAACAAAAATATACCCCTTCTGAATGTAGAGACCATCTCAAGAGCAGACTTCATGCAGTGAATATTAATAAGCAAAGGCCACAGGAGCTGTGAAGTGACACGTACAGGAGGCTGGCTGCGAAAAAGCGAAAAAGAAGAGCCTCTGCCCTTGCTCTTCAAAGTAAAGCAGCTAAAGGGAGTGGACAAAATGATGGCTCAGAGAGTGGCTGTGGGAGGCAAAGTGACGTACTACAATGAAACAGGCAAAGGCCCTGCATTAGAAACCAAAGGGAAGAAGAAGTTCAAGCATTTACTCATCTATGCCAACAAAATTTAGAAGGGATCCATATTTATGTACAATCTAAAGATATTGATACAACCTAATCTTTAAATTATCAAATAATATAATTAATATCACATGTAAGTAAGTAGTGTTGAAGAAAATTTTTAAATGGTTCCAACAGTGTATCAGGAGGGAAGTACCAGAAATTGAAGCCAATTCAGAAGGGGATCTAGGACGAAGGAGATCATAGTTGACTTCAGATGGATATTGGTTAAAAGCAGAATACAAGAAAGTTGTGTAGTTGATGTTTCATTGACTATCCAAAGATACTCGACTGTGTGGATCACAATAAACTACGAATAACAGTGTGAGAAAGAGGAAACCCAGAACATGTCATTGTGCTCGTACTGAACTCTGTACGCAAACCAAGAGGCAGTAAATCTGAACCAATCATGTCAGGAACAGCGAGTCGATGCTAATGTTGCACCATTTCACCGTACTCATTTAATTGGTATGCTGAGCAAGTAATTTGAGACGCTGAAATATATGAAGAGATGCATTACCAAATTATAATATGCACATGGCACAATTCCAGATAAAAGCAAAGAGGATTTGGAAGCATTTCCTGATGAAGACTAAAGTCCATAGGCTTCAGGGATGACCCTTCAATAGAGAGAAAGCAAAATTCTCACAACTTACCAACATATAACATCGTAATAAATGAAATTACTGAAGTTGTCAAACATCTAATTTTACTTAAGAGGTATAATCTATGCCCATGAAAGCAGCAATCAAGCATCTCATCACACTGCAATCTGAGGCAAAAGATCTCATATTGAAGTGTTAAAAGCAATAATTTAACTTTGAAGGCTGGGATTTTCAATTGCATTTTATGTTCCTGAACGCTGACAATAAATAAGGAAGCCTGAAGAAGAATGGCTGTCTCTGAATTATGCAATGGGAAAGAACACTGCCTGAACAGCAAACAATCTGTTTTGGAAGTATAGTTAAAATTAAGGATGGCGAGAATTTGTCTATTGTTACTTCAGGAGAGACCATCAGGAGAGACCAGTACTAGGCAAGGACATCATGTTCGGTAAGGGAGAAAGACAGTTTGACATAGTAGATGTCATAATACACAAACACAGATCAAGTACAGGATTGTGCAATGGTGGGTACTGTGTTGTGCTTGTGGACACAGGGCAGCTGGGATTCCAAACTAATGGACACACCAAACAAGAACAAAAGCAATGACAGCAGCTTTAATAAAGAAACTAACCCGAATTATAATGTGAAACTGGTAAAACTAACTATAAAACTGCTGATAGAAAGAGGGTGGATAGAGACAAAAAGTGGATGGAAGCAGGGGGTAACAGCAGGGAAAGCCTTACTTCTTAACCTGTATTTAAATAAATTTAGTTGTTTGTGTCTACAAAAATGTGAGAAAAATAAACCAGTGATTTACACTTTCACAAAAACTAGGCTTCTGAAAGCTGTTTTGGAAAAAGATCAAAAATATTTAAATAATTTAAAAAAATAGATGTTTTGATAGTCTAATTTCAAAGAAGTCTAAACAAGAGGTACTATTTAGAAATTCTTTTGAACACTAAAGATGTTTGATGGCTGCCAAGAAGGATTAATTTGAATATAAAATCAAGGACAATTCAGTCTGAAAAAAAGAGAGCCATACATGTTGGCAAGGTGGGCAGAACCATTCTCCATCAGGGATGATCATAAGAGGAGGGCGGAGGCAGGCGGTGTGGTATCCACTGTCACAAGAGTCACACAGAAGAATCTGAAATAAACCACAGATGAATGTTAACCTAACAGCTAGACTAAAAGTGCATATTCTTTAAATTCAAAAGAAAAGGATTTCAAAAACACAAAAAAAAGATAAGGATTTCAGTATTTTTTAAGTAATATAGTGCAATAGCATTTTAGTAATAAAAGCTAGAGTAACCTAATATACCATCTAAAAAGAAAAACTAAGACAAAAAAGGTAAGAAATTATTAAGTCCAAATTTCATGTAAACAATGTGCCCTTCATAGTTAGAATAAGTATATAATGCGGCTATATAACAACATCTCAGCAATAAATTTTTAGCATTATCATGCACGACCCTAAGAACATAAAAACTAAACCCACTGATGTTAAAGAGATTCCAATTCAGGCCAACCCTGCAGGGCAGGGAGCACTGCTCCAGAGGATTCCTAAGGCTGTTCTGGTAACTCTTTACAGAAAAGCACAGCTCACATTTTCCCATGCGGCCACTGGAGGGTTCAAATCTCTAACAAAGCACTTTAACTACTGTACCTTACTAGAATTTTTAAAAGTACAATTTTCACATCAATTACCAATCTGTAAGAAACATTCATAGGTACTTTGATAACGTAAATTTAAATAAGAGAGTGATGAATAAAAGGAATGGGACTATAGATAGGATTATCATATTCAAATACAAAGGATAACAATTTTTTTTGAAGTTGTTTTATCACTATTTGTGTTTATGATGTTCAACTCAGTAAAACAAACACTGGCATACCTATGTTTAAATATTTATCTAAATTTCATCGGCTCTGAGAATTTGAAAACATAGACATTTGAGTTATAAGGGTTTGTTATTTAAAAAAAACTTAATTCTCATGTAATTTTAGATCTCCACAAGAGCTTTACAGATTACGAGTTCTTTACTCTCCATCCAGTTGCCACTAATACTAACTTGTATAACTATGGTACATCTATTAAACTATGAAACTAACACTGTCACAATGCCACTAACTAGACTGCATACATTGTATGTAGTTAAAACCGTATCCTTTGGGATTCTAAAATCCAGGCCAGCACACCCGGATTAGATTTAGTTATTTCTTTCAGTCTTCCTTTATTTTTCATGACTGGCAGTTGTGAAGAATACTGGGGTTGGATTTTTGGGGTAGAATGCCTGTCTACTTGGGCTTATCAGATGTTTTCTCATAACTAGCCAGGGCTTTGAGTTTTGGGGACAAGCACTACAAAGATGAAGTGCCCAGAGTTCATTACCTGTCCTTTCTGAGGGTACATGATATTCATATGACTAATTACTGATGATATTAAGTTTGATCAGTTAATCAGTTTGATCAGCCTAAAGTAGTAGTAACCAAATTTCTACACTATAAAGGTAAAACTTGTAATTTTTCACACTTGATTTTCTTATCAGAGCAATAAGTCCACCCTGCACTCAAGGAAATTAAATTGTATTTTCAGGAGTAAGGATTATTTAAGAATTTTTAGATGTATATTAAAATCATATCACCTAAATTAATTACATATTTAGGGGAAGAAACTTTGGAATAAAGCAAGTATCTTGCCATTCATTAAAGTTTCACCTGCTGTTAGTTTAGCATTCCACAGTGACTCTGATGGTGTCTTAATGGTAATTTTCTATTTCCATCATTCCCTGTACAGTATTTGGACTCCTTTGTAGAGAAGATTATTTTCCATTTCATTAACCAATCCATTCATCTTTCCACCTACCTACTTACTTCAGTAGCAACTCATCAACTCTAAACCCAATTCACTACCATCAAGGCGATTCTGACGGCTGTCAATGTTTAAGGAGACAGAGAACCTAGTCTCCCTCCTGTAGAACAACTAGTGGGTCAAAATTATAACACTGCGCCAACCAATATGCCACCCAGGCTCCTTTAATTATGAACTAGTGGATATTTACTTTATTAGTTGGATTAGAGTGCAGAACTGATTTAAAGTTTGCTGTTCAAATTGTTTCAACCATGGACACCAAGGGCCCTTTCAGGTTAGCTCTTACATCCTTAAACTCCTCAAAAGAAAAGTGTGGCTTATGAAAAATCAGCCATTGACACCCAATGGAGCAGACTCCTCTGACATGCATGGGATAGCCATAAACCACAGTGGGCCTGACAGCAACTTACTCTGGTTTAGTAACCACGTAAAGGAATTCCACAAGTGCTGGCCCATAGCATAGAAGAGATTTTAAAAGTCTTTTCTAGCATCTCCCTAACATGCATCACTTACAATACCAATATTCAGTAGTAAATAACATTAGAACTATAGTTCATTTATATGATTGATTACACAGGCATGTGTAGGTTAACATATGTATGGACCCTCATTCCATTCATCACATTATTTCTATGGTAAAATGTAAGCCATGTTTCTGAGATTTGTACCTTTACTTAAAGGCATAGATGAAACTAGAAACTAGTACTCAGTATTGGTTTTGCAGTCTGAGCTCCTTCCTCGGGCTCCAAACTCGGTCCCTGAGCATCAAGCTGCGATTGCTTTGAATTGTGTCAGTGAAGACTATATTTTAGTGCTATTATAGGCTTCATGATCTAGAAGATTATTGTGGGGGTCTGAGAATGCTCACATTTTTTTCTCATAAAAATTAATGGTGACTGCTTCTTCACTTTACGCCATTTTGACTAATGGAAGGTTTCATAGGAATGCACAGCTTACAGACAGTGGGGAAAACCTGTATATTATTTTCTTAAAATGTCTTTTGAAAGAAAACAAAGAATTTTTGTTTGTTTTCCTTTAGGTCTAATTTAGTTAGAGTTGGTTTTCAGAATATAATAAAGCAGCGCAGCACTGAAAAAAGCAAAAACACAAGAAAATATTTAAATAAATCCATTGATTTATGAGATTAGGAGCATAATCTTAACAAGTAGAGAAAATATCAATATATACGCCAGGTAGAATGAATGCAGAACCCTGATCATTGGTCCTGAAAAGGTGGGTTATTATTTGAGAAATAAAAGTTATTTTGTAGTACACACCAAGCTTTGTCGCATTAGGAAAAATCCAAAACATACTTAAATACAGAACTATATTGGCTGTTCCAGGAAACAACATACTTGAAGTGCGCACAGTATTTATGATGGTCAGGTACATACTAGTTCAGGATGGTTTGGAAGGCCACATTTTTTGCATGGTTCGTCGTCATCAGCTGGGGCAGCCTCTTCACTTCCCTTTTCTTCTTCTGAAACCGCAGATGATTTTTCACTGTCAGACCCTTCACTTTCATCGTTGCTAGAGTATTTCCATCTGCCACGTGTTCGAGAACCAGTCCATCGAACTTTGCCTTTGGGTTTGACCTTGTGTGAAATAAAAATGGGGATAGTTGAATGTAATTTAAAAAAAATTAGGGGGATGGAGGATAAAAATCCTCTCCTGATTACAGAAGTAATACACATCCATTGTAGAATATTTATAGTCAATGGAGAAAAAAGAAAATGAAAATTTTAATAACTTCATCACCAAATATGCCTATTGTTACATTTTAGAAGTAGTTCTTTTATTTTTTTCTATGGGGTCACAGTAAATATTCTGCCTTACATATTTTCCAAGTCATAAAAGATTTCCCTAACATTGCTTAAAATGGCTGTAAAATATGCTGTCACCTAGCAGTGTGTATCTAATTAGACATTTATAAGGTTGTTTCCCATTTTTTCACTTCCATAAACAAATTATTTCCTAAATATAAATTTTTTTCATATACATCTCTGGTTAAGATAAATTCCTTGAAGAGGATTCTGGGTCAAGTGCCATGTACATTTAGAAGGCTCTGGAACAGAGCAATGACTATATTTTACCACATACTACTATGCAAATTTTAAAAATGCATTTAAAAGAGTGCAAATTAATTCAAAGGTTTTAAAACGTCTTAACCATAAACAAATCCCAACAAACGTCAAAAAAAATTAGAAAAAAATATATATTAGTAAGTTTACAATATTGTAAATGACTTTTTATAGCTTGGATATATATATATATATAAAATCATTTTATTGGGGGCTCTTACAGGCTTATACAATTTTTACACTTGATCTTAGCCAAAACGCCGAGAAGCGATGCATATACAATCTTTAAAGTCACGTATTATTATGTCATTTCTATACTACTGTTCTCCTGCAAAGTATAAAATGATTTTTACCAGCAGAATAAAGAGGAAACTTTTCATACAAATAAAAATTCAGTGTATCAGAGAACAAAGAGTTACTTACAGTGAAGGATCATCTGATTTGTTTTAGTAAAGTAATACTTTTAATCACAACACACTCCCATGGATTATCTAAAAACTCACTGCACAAGATATGGCTTAAAAAGGTATTACCACAGAAAAGAGAATTCTGGCCATTCTAAGACTAATAATTAAATTGGGGAAAACAGGCACTCAAAGACACTGGGCATGAGAAGGTCCATTAACGGGGCCTTTGTGAAAGGCACTATGATGATAGCTACCAACTCTTAAAATAGACATGCCCCTTGACCCAGTAATTCCAATTCTAGGAAGCTATTCTAAAGAAATACTCACTCATGTCCAAAAGGATCTTCAATGCAGCATTGCCTGTAATAGTGAAAAATTGGAAACAACCTAAATGTCATTCAATAAGGGAGTGGTGAAATAAACTGAGGTACATCCACACTGTGGAATACTATGTGGCCATTAATAAGCAAAACGTGGACTACACTTTAACATGAAGAGCTCAAAGACACATAGTTCAACGGGGAAAATAAAAGCACAGAAAAATCGAAGAGATTTGATCCAATCTCTTTTTAACTAAATGGGAAAATACGTATGGACATAAAAGAGAAATGCATGGAAAAGGACTAGAAGATGCGTACCCCAAACTGTTAATAATAGTTACGGGGAAGTTTTTGTCATTTATGCTATAGCCTGGGTATTATTTGAATGGATAACCTATAGAATGTATTTGTACTCTCTCAGCATTTTATTTTTTTGTTTGTTTAAAAGAGGACAGGACTATACAGTCTAAAATTTGATCCCTTCTGATAACTTCTGAGGAAAAACTAGTTGAAGTACAGGAAGAAAAGTACAATTAAAAAAAAAAAGTTATCTCTGAATGACTAAATTTTAGCCTAAACCAAAGAGTTATAAACACAGCCATATATATCTACCGTAATTAAAAATTAAAACTCGAGAGATTTACCTTGCATACTTTAGAATTTGTATCCTCCGCTTTCTTCAAACTTTCTTTTCTGTCTTTTTGCAGAGCTGCCGCTTCTTCTTCTGCTTCATCTTCTCCGTCCCCTCTTCTCTTTTCGGCTTTCTGGTCTCTGATCTCAGCCACTTTCGCGGTGGGTCTAGAGATTCTTGGAGATCGCCTTAAAGTACGGCCCACGTTTGCTTTCTCTTCTCCCTTTGCAGGCTTCTCCTGCTTGGTTTCTGGTTCCGCAGGTTTTAAGGGAGAATCTGGCTGCTTCTTCCGACTGGATATCCTAATTGTTAATTTGATGCCCTCTTTCTGCCTTTCAGAGGTGATCTCCCTATTTTCTGAGGCGGTGGTTTCTTCTCCAGGAATCAATTTATACTTAAATTTACTTTTCTGCATGGAACCCTTTGTCTCTGAAGAATCCTCTATGCCACAGGCCTGGGCATTATTCAGATGATCCATTTCTACCTTTGGGGGCTCAGAATTCTCTTTCAGATTTTTCGGGTTTGCTGTGTCTGGGATGAGGCCTTCAGCGGAACCTGTGCTCTGACACTCCCCCACTTCTCTCTCTGAAGTGAGTGTCTCAGCGACACCAGCCAAGTCAGATGGTGACGTTTCAGCTGCTTTGGGAGTACTCGGCTTTTCTGACTTTTTTTCAGTACTCCTTGGAATTTCCTCTGGTATTGGACTCAATCTTTGTGCGTCCTTATCCAGAAGAGTCTTTTTGGATTTCTCTAACTTTTCAAGGCATTCTATGAGGGGTGGCCGTTTATCTTTCTTATTTTTTGGAGACTTCTCTTCAACTTTCATGGAACAAGATTCAGTGGTAGATAAAACACTTTTTATAGAGAAATCTTTTGCCATCTCAGAAGTCTCAAGAGAGGTTTCCATTTCTGGCAGACTAGATTGTCCTATCTGCTCTTTCTGGCTCTGCATCTCTGAAACAGAGATCGAACTGTCTGTATCCTTCACTACAGAGGCCACTTCCTTCTCAAGCTCACCCATTTTGATACTCATTATGACAGAATTGAAGGGCTCTGCCCCGTGTCCCTCTATCATGACGGTTCTGCCCTTAGAAGGGCTACAGCTATCTTCTTTGGCATCATACAACTTTGACTCTCTTTGTTCTGTCTTGAAATTCGGAGTTACCTTTTCATCCCCAACCTCTCCATTGACCAGTTGTTTCCCTTCAAGGCCCAAAGAAGTAATTGTAGAGATCCTTTTACAAGTTTCTTCCTCTTGTTTTATTTCCTCTTTTAAAAACTCTTTTGTGGGAGTAACTGATTTACACAAAGGTCCTTTAACTGGACTGTCAAAATCATCACTCAGTTTAATTTCTCGCTTTTTCAGGGGTATCTTGGCCTGCTGGTCATTTTTAAGTTTCTCTGTGTCTTCAGCAGATTTCTCAGTCATTTCCTGAGAAGATTTAATGTTGCCAAACTCCAGTCTCTCGGGCTCCTGTGCCACTAGTTTCTCCACAGTACTTTGAGTATCTTTAGAGTCTACCTGATAATCTTTCAATTCAACTTTAGCAGGTTTGACATTTTCCTTGAAGGAATCACCCTTCTCTCTGATGCCCTTTTTGTCCTCACGTTCTGGCAAAGACTTCTCGAGCTTCACTATGACCGGCAGCTTCACAAGTTCCTTTTCGTCTTTCTCGATTTTCACAGCAGTCTCTTCTGGAACGTTAGGTGGGGAAAGTTTTTCTGAATTGATTGGCTGTCCATCAACTTTCATCTTTTCATTTTCTTTCTGTTCCTCTAAAAATCAGGGGGAAAACGTGTAATTATATAAATAGGAGCTTCCAAGACTATAAAGTATAAAAGCGTAATATAATGTTGTTGGTACCACTGAGTCAATCCCAACTCACAGCTACCCCGTGTGACAAAGGACAACTGTCCATTCTTCCTGCACTCTTCTTGGAAGCGGCTCACCAGGTCTTTCCCATAAGAAGTCACTGAATGGGTTTGAACCATCAACTTTCCAGTTAGCAGGTAAATGTTCGACTATTATACAACCAGGACTCCTTCATAATGAGAGGGCTTCAAACATTCCTAAAAATTTCCATTCTCTTTTAAGTCTGTTTTTCAGTGAACTCTGAAGACCACTGGTATATGTAAACATTTGAAGTTTCTCTTAAGTGACATTTTACCATTCGACATGTCATAAAACTGGAAGATTAAAAAATTACAAAACTCTGACGCATAACTTGAAAATTTCAGAAAAATAATCCTCACAAAGACTGAGATTTCTGCTTTATACTTTTAGTGTCAATATATACTTAAACAGTTGTGGCAATCTATCCCAGATCAAATGACAGCTCAAAATTATCAAACTGAAAATACTACATAGGCGCATCCAATACACCATTTTAAAAAATGACCACTGTTGTTTATAAATCCCCAAGCACTTTATTCCACTGAAACACCATGAACATGTCATCGCAAAAATCCTTGATTCAGGCTATATTCTTCACTAATTTTTAAGTATAAAATCATATTACTCAGAAGGAATCAATATTAATATTTTTGGTTGATCTATCGATTCCTCTTAATACTATATTGGCTCTACATTTTCAACAGTGCAGACACACAAGTTATATTCAGTCAACAGTATGATCTCTGAAGGGGATTAGAGACTGTACAGATGCTGTGTTGATTGCAGATTCAAGGATTTCGTTTTGCTTCATGGAAAGTAGCAGTCAAGAGATCAAACAACGCATTGCATTGAGTAAATCTGCTGCACACACCTCTTCAAAATGTTGAAAAGCTAGGTTACTTTGAGGACTAAAGTGAGTCTGACCCAAGACGTGGTCTTTTCAATGGTTTCATATGCATGTGAAAACTGTATCTTGACTAGGACCACAGAAGAGCTGCATCTGAATTCTAGTGCTAGTGAAGAATACTCAAACTACCATGAGTTGCTAAAAGAACAAATCTGTCTTGGAAGACATACAGCCAGAAGACTGCTTAGAAGCAAGGATGTGGAAAGTTTCTTTCCACATACTTTGGACATGTTGTCAGGAGAGATGAGTCCCCGGAGGAGAACATCATGCTTAGTAAAGTACAGGGGAAGTGAAAAAGGAGGAAGGCTTCCACCAAGATGGACTGACACACTGCTGCCAACCATGGGTTCAAACATTTGTCAGGATGGCGCAGGACTGTCCGGTTTCAATCTGTTGTGCACAATTATGAGTCAGAACTGATTCAACAGCACCTCACAACAACAACAACAATATAACTCAATGTCATCGAGTGATTCTGACTCATAATGATCATAAAGGATGGGGTAGGAATTGCCCCTATGGGTTTCCAAGACAGTTTATCAGAGTAGGAACAACAACATGAATGCCATAAATTGATACTCATTGGTGTGGTAGTTATATAATCTGTTGTCAATTTGAGACTTAAGAGTGAAGGAATGGAGTGTAGCCTGTCAATCAAGTCACAGTTTGATGACCTCATTTGGCGGCACTAAGGAGATAAATAGCTCACTGGAGGCAGGGCATACACTCACGCCCTGTAAGACATTCCTATGAAGAAAACACAGGGAGCTATATTGAGCTCTGGAGCTGAAGAAGCCATGTAGAAACCCCTGCCAGCGCTGACATGCTTGCACTGTCAACGGATCCACAGACTTTCAATGTACTGGCATATGATCTTCCTGCATTTGGCGCCATTGCATGAGTTGTGTGAGTTTGAAGAGGACTTTATAGATTGGTATCGGACAATAGGTTAATTTTGGACTTATGGACTGATCTGGGCTGTTTCTCAATATACAATTGCATCCCTAATCTACCTAGACACACAGAATAGGTTTGAGCATACTACTTGCAGAATTCATTACCAACGTTTCTATCTCTTGAACCTACTCTTGCAATACTGAATTATCCTCCATTCAAATCCAGTTCTATCAAGATAGAATTTTTTTTTAAACCTTGAACCAGTTCTTGCTATGGTTGGTTACACTAGATAATTACAATAAATACTTCATGAGAAAATGGGATGGGTACACCAGGGCGAAACACTAAGGAGTAGCAAGGGGAGCAAAACAAAGATGTCCCTGAGGAAACTCAAAATTAGACTTTGGGAGCAGGGCATGGCATCTCATCAGACTTGATCAGAAAACACTCCAAAAGGTCAACAAATAAGACCTGGCACTATTTATAGGCTTTTCTTTTGTTGTTGTTTTGCTTTTTGTGTTTATTATTGTTTTTGCATATATATCTAGATAAGGTAGGCGAGATAAACAATCTGCAGGGGAAAACAACAGATGGAAGGATTGGTTGGGGGGGGGCGCGCCACGGGAGAGGAGAAGGCAAGGGAAAGAAAGGAAGGTGTCAACAAACCTAGACATGGGGGAACAAATGATCTAAAATCAATGGCGAGGAGGGGGTAGGATGCCTGGTGGGGCTTGATCAAGTACAATGTAGCTGAGAGAAATTAATGAAAGCCAAATAAAGGTTGAACATGACAGTGGGAAAAGAGGAAAGTAAAAGGAAATAGAGGAAAGAAGTAGGAGGCAAAGGACATTTATAGAGGTCTAAATACAGGCATGTAGATATGTAAATATACAATGATAGGGAAGTATATATCTACATATATATCTACATATATTTATATGTTAAGTATTAAGGTAGCAGATGGACACTGAGCCTCTACTCAAGTTCTCCCTCAATGCAAGAACACTTTGTTCTAATAACCCAGAATTCTGTGATGCTCACCTTCCCCACACAATCCCTGAAGACAAAATGGGTACATAAGCAAATGTGGTAAAGAAAGCTGATGGTGCTCAGCTATCAAAAGACATAGCGCCTGGGGTCTTTAAGGCTTGAAGATAAACAAGTGGCCATCTAGCTGAAAAGCAAGAAAGTCCACAAGGGAGAAGCACACCACCCTGTGTGATCATGAGGTGTTGATGGGATCAGGTATGAGGCATGAAAGACTCAGAACAAAAAAACTTTGATGTGAATGAGGGGGAGGGAGTAATGTAAATAGGGAGAATTTAATACTGCTAAAATATAGACATTTTTATTACAAAGCACCATTTCTTTTATGCCAAATCAGGTTGTAATCAAATATTATAACAGTTGAGATTAAAAAACATCTAAAACAACTCAGAGATTGAACTATGGAATGATATATGTATTAAATCCCAATTAATAATATATTTTTT